AATTTATTTATTTATTTCTCTCCAAAATGATAGAAAATTGTATTATAACTTATATAACTTAGAAAATTGTATTATAATATCTGAGACAAAGTTGACATTTTCAAACAGATGCTTTTTGTAAATGATCATTTAGAAATCTCATACGCTATAACTGAGCAATACAATTTTCAAAAAATATATTTTTTAAGGGAAATAGTAAGTGTGTGTTCGTGACAGGCATTAAAAGCCGTCCAGCACTACAGTCAACTGTTCTTCTTCCTGGAGGTAAATGCAAATACCCACTGGGGACATTTTAAACCCCCCTCTGTTGCTGGGACGTTTGCCAGCACTATCACACACAAAAGCCAGAGCTGTCCTCCTTGACCACACCAACCTCTTTAATGCATCTTCCCAAGGACACATCTTCAAAAACAACGTGATTCTTCCTTCCTCTCTGAATTTCTCTTTGTGCATCTCCCATTCTCTTTTATCTCCTCTGGTATTGTGCTCCTCAAAGGCAGCGAATGACGATTAATGTGTTTGCTTTAATTAATATGCGCTAGCTGATTAGGAACAGGGAGGTACAGTCTTGTTCTTGGGCTGGGGTTTGAGGGAAGACGAGGGACGTGTGTGTGTGTGTGTTATAGAGGCAGACAGGTGGTGTTGATGGGGATGCCTGATTCAGTGTGCACCTTATTTGCATACACTTGCAGACAACCATCTGTGCTAATAGCCTCTGAGATGTCTCTATTAGGCTCTAAGCCACGTGTCAGTGCCAGGAGAACCGCACCCATGTTGTGCCAGTGTTAAACCGGCACCGGAGTCGTTGTAGGTTCCATCTGATGCCATCTAGTGATTGGTGGAGCTATGAGGAAGAAAATCAGGTAATATTTCAAGAACGTAGGGCAGTGGAACTTTAAATCAATTCTCAAACCTATGGCTGAATCCCAGTTCGCAAGTTTATACTTAGTATGCAAGGTATGATGGTTCAATAAATTATCATTTAAGATGTGCTTATCCTGGTGCTTAAAATGAACCTGTACTAAGTTCTGTACTATGCTGTTCACGGTACCAGGAATTGGACTCTCTTTGGTCTAATTTTATTTTATATATTTATTTTATGTGGGTTAATGTGATTGTAATTTTTCTTCTTTGCCTAATATTAGTTTGTGTGTGTGTGTGTGTGTGTGTGTGTGTGTGTGTGTGTGCAATTAATCATTTTAGGAAAGAAACAAAAATCTATGTAACAAAATGAAAAATATGTAAAAATAGCAAATTACTTAAATTTGTTGTATATTAATTCATAATTTAATAATTTATACCTTTAGTACAATACACACACACACACACATACACACATAGATATATATATATATTGAAGGATTTTGAAAGTCTGACAGTAATTAGTGTTACTGTAAAGTTAACCCTGCCTGCTTTAACTGTTTGAAAATGATTAACAGCTGAAAACATTTGTTAGAAATTTAGAAAAGTAATCAAAAAATAATCAAATGTAATCAGTTACATTACTTTAATAAAGTAATTGAAATAGTTACACTACTTATTACTTTTTAAAAAGGATAACTTGTAATCTGTAACCTATTACATTCCAGTAAAAGAAAGTAAGCTTTCCAACACTGTATATGTACTGTATATGTAGATCAGGGAATCATTTCCACTGTATACTAAGTTCGATGGATATTATACAAATTGGAATATTTCTCATTTTAGATTTTTTTTTTTTTAATAGTTGTGTTGGACTAGACAGGAATCCTCTGGCAGACCTCAAATAGGCCCGTATCCTTTGCTTCGGGCTAAACGTGAAAAAATACCAGTTTCACCAGAAAGTTCTTTGTTTCAGTTCATCAAACAGTAATTAAATAACGCTCATCTTCAGAGCTCATAGTATGCATGTCTGTTTTGGTCAAATGCATTTCACAACAACGCAGTCAGGCCAAGTGGAAATTCTCCAAGCCACACCAAACTCCAGCACATGATTCTTATATTTTACACAAATTCCTCGAGTTTCACAAGCAATTTCTCAGTCATCAGCAGTGACATGCTGATGGCTTATGTGTACCCATTCAAAGGTTGCATCTGAGTGTTTGCGTTCCCAGCTGTGCACTGACAGGCATTTTTCATCTGAGCAAAATCATAGAAATTGTACAATTAGGTCCAATTATCAACCTGAAAAAATAGAATAAACTATGAATATTAATAAACACCCAAATAAATAATAAATCCTGCTGCAGGAAATGAAGGTTATTAGCTGTAATGATGTTTTGAACGCACCAGGAGTCCATCCATGAATGGCACGGAGAAGTGTTGTTTTGAAGAAAAAAAAAACAGTATTAGTCAGATGTTCTGGGATGGAGATTAATCTCTAGAAGGACGTTCAAAGACATTTGGGTTCTATAAAAACTTTGGAGAGATTCTCTACAAACTCTTAAAGGAACAGTTCACCCAAAAATGCATTTTTTTTTCTCTAGAGCAAAGAAGGTGGTATTTTGAAAAATGTCTCAGTGTTGTTTGTCTCCACAATCAAAGTCAGTGGTGTCCAATGTCGTTTTGGACCCTACCGTATGGACAAAAACATTCTTTGTGTTTCACAGATACAATTCATAGAGGTTTTGATACTCTTTTGCAATCCACATAAAATTTCAATCTCTGTATTATTTCTATACGCCAACAATTGTCTCATTTGTTTGTGTTTGTTTTTCCTATTGAAATTTCGGAGAAACATCTGAAACAAAACTTGATACATTAAAGAAACGTATGCTGTGAAAGAGCAACCTCTGAGAAACTGTATATTGCAGCAAAGATATGTCAGTTTTTTATGACTACACTCTTTTAAGGTTTCCAAAAGTTTTTTTTTTTTTCAGTGATGCCATAGAAGAGCCATTTCTGGTTCCCTAAAGAACCTTTCAGTCAGCAGTTCCTAAATAAACATTTTATTAATATGAAGGGCATTTTAATAACCAGAACAGCCTTTTTCCACTATAAAAAACCTTTTGTCCAGTGGAAAGTTTCAGTGGATGTTCTGGAACCATCATTGCCAATAATGGACCTTTATTTTTAAGAGTGTACTTGCGACATCCAGCATATCTCGGTTTATCTTAGACAGATATGATGTATGACCTTCAGGAATGTCTCAGTGACTCTCGTTTTGTCAAAACAGCACTCACATTGTTTGACATTCCTCATTCACAGTAACGTTCATGCGTATATTCCACAAGATTACATCAGGTTTCCTGCAGATGGACACTACTCCACCCATATCAGACCGATAAACATATAACCGTACAGTGCACGAAACATATTGCGTTGAAAACAGAAACGGGTGAGTTAAGCCATTATGTAAGCCATTAGCCAAAATATAGATGAGTACAAATGTACATGAGGGAAGCCTGCCAATTTCAGCCTTTGCACTTACTCTCAGATTTCCATCAGCTTTGTGAAAAACTACTTTTCTGCTGGAGCAACATTAGTGTTTTAATACTTTGGAAATCGAGAAGGAATCTGCAATTGGGCCTAATCCTGAACCCTGTGGAGCACCGTAACGTTGACTCGTAACCACTGCAAGAAGACGACTGGAGGGCCGCATAAAAACACCAGTCCTTCTGAGATCAGCATTAAATGTGGCATTGGGAGTATCTGTGACCGTGTCCGCCAATCTAACTGGTCTCGGGGGAGAACATTTTTAAGGGACGGACAACATGACTGACTCATTGTTTTGATAGGGTTTCTGGGGAGAGTTGCGTTGATTAAGAATTTGAAACACTGTACTTAGAACTTAGCCAGTCCTGTGATTGGTAACAGTATGTGTCCGAAGAGAATATCGAAGCCAGTATTTGTTATGCTAAATGTGAATCTTATCAGATCATCATATGAAATTCATTGTGAAAATATTTCTCTTCTGGATCATTTTCATTTCTCACTGTAACATTATGGAAACTGGGGAATTAGTGTATGTTTGTGGTGAGTGATATATACCTGTGGACCACCAAATGATAATCACTAGGGCAGTGTTATTTTAATATTATTTACATGCTATTATAGTTTGTATTAATATTTTGAATTAGCTTTTGTTTTCATTTCTATGCTTTTCATTTTAATTCAGTTTAATTTTAGTCAATTTGTTATGTGCTTTTGTTTGAAATGACCAATGCGATATCATTCCTCTCAGTCCCATTTTTATTTCAAACAACTGAAGCTGAAAGTGTCACATTTAAATAAGTGACTATGTGATGAAATAAGTCTTGGGTGGCAATGCTGCTTTGTATTTGGTCATTTTGTCATTTCATGGTGTTACGGTACAATGAGAGAGAATAGAGAAGATATCAAGAGCCCAATGGAAAGCATGGGTCATATTCATAACAGCAGAGTTGTGGATTGTTTATGGCTGCAAATGCAACTCTGGGATCATTATCAGTGACTGAAAAAAATGTCAAATGATCCAATCAATCTCTCTCTCTCGTTCCAGCAAAACAGTTTGAATGCAATCAATGCTGTAACTCAAACTTAAGGACATGATTTTTAGCCCCCTTATTTGATTTATTAGCATAATTCCTTTATAGTGAAAAAAGCTTGAAAATTAAATCGGCCAGTGGCATTATGAAAATAAGACTGCAAGATGTTATTTAAATATTTTTTAAAAGAACAAACAACAGTCAGTTTCCCGCCAGATGATAATTAAGATTCACCAAACCTGAAAATGAGGGTTGTTTATATTATTAGGTCTTTTTTGATGATTTCTCTCCTGTTTCTCTTCCTTCATTCCATAATTTTTCGAAGTATCCCACTTCTTTCCTTCTCTCTTTGTCTTCCACTTTCATTTGCAGAGGGGACAGAATGAAAAATGATGGTCAGACGCAGAGAGGACACAGGAGAGACAGTCAGCTAAAAGCAATTTCCTGTCAAAATCTGTCTGTCAGTTACAGTCAGCTGAAGGGCAAGTCGACAATAAATCATTAACATTAAACAGACAAGTGGCACTCTGATTAATCCTTTCATCCTCTTCACAGGAAGAACGAAAAGCACCAACAAAGCCATTCAGTCTTCTCCAAATTGCAAAGAGGAATTCCAAAAAGATTCATCAATATACTGTAAATGAAGGTATGTTGTGTAGGAAGGCAACCTATACTATGAGCAATACAAGTGAAAGTCATTGTTGAATGCTAATCAGTTTATTAGTGCACAGGAATATCTACTGTTGCATAACATGCTAGGATTGATTGAATAAAGGCACCAAACCTATATTCTTAGAAATGAGAACTTGAAATCAGATATGTTAGACTTCTATTGGACATAAAATTAACCTAGCATAAAATGTAGCTAGTGATGTCTTTGTCTCACCCTTAAAATGGTGATTTTGGCTTGTCCCACCGTAGATGTCATGCATTTATTAACTGTATATTATTATAACAATGATGTGCAATATGTTTTTTGTTTTTGTTACAATACAAAAATGTATACATTTATATACACAGGTTGATGTATACACAATTTTTCGGTTGTGTTTTGAGTGTTCATGCAAAAAATGTTGTCTAGGTAGGCAGCTTCCTAGGTTTTAGTGCCAAAATCTGAAATCTGTACTATTTTCTCTCTCTCTCTCTCTCTCTCTCTCTCTCTCTCTCTCTCTCTCTCTCTCTGTGT